GGGGGGGTGTGCGTGTGCGTGCGTGTGGCCAGATGGCTCCAGCGTGTGGCGACCAGCCAGAGGAACAGGTGCAGGTCACATGACCAGCCGTTACCAGGGAGATGGTGATTGCTTTTGGCGTGAGGATGAAAGGAGAAGGGCCCCAGGAGGAGGGAGAGAGAGAGAGATATAGCCAGGCTTACAGTACTGCAAAGGGCAACACTCAAACTACGAAAGACACAGCTGTTTGCGCTCTGTACATTGTCTTTCATAGTGAGTTAGTAGAGGAGGTTAATGTGTCCTTTATGGCATAAATGTATAACTGTATGTTGGTCATTTAAGAAAAGTGTGGTTGGGATGGCCTGCTCCAGTTCTGCAAAGAAACACGAGGCTCCAATGCTAACAGGGCTTTATCCCTTCTACAATACATTCATTCATTTTTTAGCCGGTAGTCTTTTTGGCCTGTTGAAGCAACAAACATCAAGGTGGCAGATTACAGCTGTAGCCAATCAAACATTAATTCCACAAGTAACTCTCATAAGTAACCAAAGGTTATGCTAGCTTTGGTTTAGTTCCGGCTGTGGAAAAGTGCGACACCATAGACCAGGGGTCACCAACCTTTTTGAAACTGAGAGCTACTTCAAGGGTATTGAGTAGTACGAAGGGCTACTTGTTTGATACAAACTTCACGAATAACAAAGTTGCACAGATCACCTTTTAACAATAATAATATATGTGAAGAGACTGTTTGATCACATGTTAATTATTCCTCACAATAATTATTAACAATGATTGTGTATTTTGTTCAAAATCGCACCCGTTATATTTTTGTAAAAAATTAACACTTCTAAAAATTTTAGGAAATCATGCACTGTCATATCTTCACATCATGACTCGTTTGTACTAACGACTACCTTCGTAACATTTTTGAACAAATCATGAACTCTGTCCCATGTTTATACAAATTATCAGTTATGTAAGATAAAAAAAAAATCAACTCTTTCACATGTTTAAATGAATCCTATTACATTAGTACTAATCACCACATTTTGGGAAATCTGGGTCAACTTTGCATTGCGCAATGAAGCCTGCATGCCGGCCTGTAGTCTGTAGTCACCAGCTTTTTTTTGGGTACCTTTTTCTCCACGAAGAAACTAGTAAAAAGTCTCGTCTATAGCCGAGGGGGGGGGGGATCCAACCCTCTTAGGCACGCGAGCGTCTTTGGGCGCCTGCGTTCAAACCTCTAGTCTAAGCCTTTTCGATCGTACTGCGTTGCCTCGCCTCTACCCCCGCCACCTACGAGTTGTTGCCCCGCGGCTTGTTCCGAGGACTGACGGACCTGACGATGGTGTGCGATCGCGGCGGGGGCGGTGCGTCCGGTGCCAACGGGAAGCGCCCGCCATTCGGAACCTGAAAACCTAGTGCGGTGCGGCGGCCTCTTCCTTTTAAAATCGACATGAATGCAAGCGTTTTTGGCGTTCATGGACGGAGCTCCATGGGGACCTAGTGCTATTTTTAGAGCATGCGTTGCGGGCGACTCGCATGGTCCCTGTGGGCGACCAGGTGCCCGCGGGCACCGTGTTGGCTACCTCTGCCATAGACTGTATAAAATAAGTAAACGTAGACACCTTGACGTCACCCATTGGTTTGTGGTCTATGGTTACGAAGCCTCGCGTTTAGCATTTTGTCCGTCAGCATCTTGTTTGCTGTTGAGGCATGAAACCCGGGCGGGGCCAGGTACCATTAGCATAGCAAATGCTAAGTTACCAGAACCGCTAGTGCTAGCATGCTTAGAAATCTGCATCGGTAATTCACGTTTACTGTGATAATTGGTGTTGTTAATTTTGGCTCGTGAAAAAACGAAAAAAATGATGCCATGGTAGCAACTTGTCAATCACAAGCATATCCTGCTTTAGTTTCCTAAATAGTCACTTAAACCATATATTTGACTTGAGTATACAACTGTATGTTGGTATTAAAACATCAGTATTTTGTAAACTGCCTTCATAATATAATAATCTGTTAGTAGTCGTGGCAGTGAAGTAACCGAGTTCTGTGTGAGAGACAGAAGAGGGGTGCCGAGTGTCCTCTCCTTTCTCTGCTCTGTGTGTGTGTGTGTGTGTGTGTGTGTTAGATAGAGCCAGCTCCTCTTGCTCTCCATGCCAGAGATTAGAGGAAGCTTGAGGGCCTTTCAACCCCTCCTCTTTCTGGGGCCTCTCTCTCCCCTGTCTGTCTGCCTGCCTGCCTGCCTGCCTTCCCCCCCCCCCCTGTCTCACTCTCTCTGCCCCCCCCCTTCCTCTCTGTGCCTGTATCTCCCCATCTTGCTCCCTCTGCCTCCTCACGGTCTTTCATCACATTAACCCCCTGTGTGCCAGAGCCTGAGGCACACTAATGATTTCTAAATGGGTAAATCAAACATGGCGACTGCCCTGGGACAGACAGGCGCACACACATACACACACGATTACCTCGTCGTGTGTAAACTGTAAAGGAGGAAACACTTTGAGGACTGGTCTTCTGTTGTTTTATTTTACCCACTTGTCTCTTCTTCAGTGGATATAAAGTTGTTTTATTTCCTTCTTCCTCTCTCTCCACAGCAGTAAGAAGGTGGAGTCTGAGGGTGGGTCTAGCGCTGCTAAGAAGGATTCCAAGAGGAAGCGAGAGCCATCAGTCAGCGACGACGTGGAGGTGAAGTCTCCACCCCCCTCGCCCCCTGAGGACGACGACGATGACGGTGTACAGGTAGGCATCTAAAATAGAAACAATAGTTTCTTCAGGAAGCCTAGCGAGAACAGCAGAAGGCCACAAAACCTTATTTTTTCTCTTTGGCATCCCTCAGCCTCAGTTTGTGTTGTAAACCAGCCGTGTTGACAAAGTTCACACCGTGCACTATCAGCAACTTCTCAGCTGCTGCATACATTTATTTATTTTCAGTGCACTATTTGAAATACAATTTGAATTTTGGAGGAACAAAGCAGGACTCCACCGTATCCCTCCTCAAACCCCTCGGATCAATTTTTTATGTGTGAATGTAATTATGTGGGCCATGTAAACAGAGTAGCAGCTGGCTATTAGCGCCCCTCATTCAGATATGAACCTCAGCAGCAGCCTGCTCACACATCCGTATTATTTGGCAACGTTTTGATATAAACATGGATCTAAACATGCCGGACCATATGGAAGAGAATAATGACAATGAGTGTGTTTCCTGTGGATTCCTGTCTCCAGCTCTGCTCCAGTGTCACACAGTATGCACTCTGATGTGTTGTGTTGAGTGTCTTTTACTCATCTCTCTCTGCTTTACGACCAGTGGACATTTTGAATGAACCAACTGAAAGGGGGGATTGGTAATGAGTCATCAAGCTGCTGCTGGGATTTCTGCAAAAGGTGACAAATTTACAGCCGATGTCCTCTCCCTCTGTCCAACAGAAGCGTCGCTCCAGCCGCCAGGTGAAGAGGAAGAGGTACACGGAGGATCTGGAGTTCAGGATCTCGGAGGACGACGACAGCGGTGACGACTCGCCGGCACCCAAGTCCCCGTCTCAACAACAGGTACAGCTGCAAGACTCGAAGGGTCGGATCTACTACGGTCCGTCACACCGCTATTTAAAGAGTGTGTGGCCAGCGTCTGACATAAAGTAATCTCACAGAAAGAAGCTACACATTTTAAACCATCAGATTTTCCCCCTAATACCAAGGTATCAGTCACCAAACTGTCACTGGTTACATTAGGACATCAGTGGAAATAATGTAGATCGCTTTGGAGACTGAATGAATAGTTTCCTGTTTGGCACCTTCTTCCAAAAAATTTTTTTTTTTGAAGGGCAGTTTAAGTCAGTCGCTTTAGGTGTTATAACAGCAGTGTGTGTTTGCAGGACTTTGCTGAGACAGAGGGGCCCGTCGTGGAGAAGATCATGGGCAAACGCATCACTAAGAAACAGGTGAGATGATTCAACAGACATGGACACACGGGCCGAGTCACGGTATACGTCATCTGATTAGCCGCTCCACAGCTGGCCTGAGCAGATTACACACACAAACA